TTTTAAAGTCTTGTTTTTCCTTGTTTCTCTTAAACTTAAATAAGCCCACAGTCAGGTGTTAGAAGTTTAGAAATAGTTTTACTTTATAATATACAGGATCATCCTGAGAATCAATTTAAATGACAGAAACATGCTTTCAGGAACACACATATCTTTTCAAATGCAAGATCATAATGACATATTATACATAACATCTATTCTATTAATATGACAATCACTCTTGTTATATTTATTTGGTTGTATTGTTTCTTAAACTGATGGCCATTTTGTTACTGATAATATTAAAATAATAAATAAGGAGAGGTAGCATTTTATAGCAGGAGAAGGGCGGGCTTCAGTTCAAATTCCTGGGGTACCAGGTACTATTTGTGTAAGTATGGGCATGATAATTTACTCTGCGATTGCTTCCTCATTTATTAAGTGGGGATATATATACTTTTCTTGTAGAGGTGTTTAAGGTGTGTAATAATCTATCTAAAGTAACTTGTACAATGCCTGATATTAAATGAGCTGTCAACTAAACAGTTACTATGGCTGTTATTATTGTTAATAGTCTTATGACTAATGAAGACACTGACTTTGTTGGAAATCAATTCCCTATGGAGATTGAACATGGACGGAAGACAATAGAGATCTTTTTTTTTTTCCCCTAAGTTTTTTTTTTTTTATTTATTTGACAGAGATCACAAGTAGGCAGAGAGGCAGGCAGAGAGAGAGAGGAGGAAGCAGGCTCCCCGCTGAGCAGAAAGCCCGACGAGGGGCTCAATCCCAGGACCCTGGGATCATGACCTGAGCCAAAGGCAGAGGCTTTAACCCACTGAGCCACCCAGGCACCCCAAGATCTTTTTATTTTTAATTTTTTAAAAGATTTTATTTATTTATTTGACACACACAGAGAGAGAGATCACAAGTAGGTGGAGAGGCAGGCAGAGAGAGAGAGGAGGAAGCAAGCTCCCCACTGAACAGAGCACCCTATGTGGGACTCGATCCCAGGACCCTGGGATCATAACCTAAGCCAAAGGCAGAGGCTTTAACCCACTGAGCCACTCAGGTGCCCCGACAATAGAGATATTTAAAAATGCCTCTAGCCTTCTGACCATTTGGCCAGGGAAAGTGGCCTCACTTTATAAATGCAAAGTAGATGTATAAAAGGGGGGGGAAAACCACTCTAATTTATTCTCTCAAAGTATTCATCCAATGAGGTAGGATTTCTGGGAAAGATTAAGAGCTTACAATTTTTATTGGACTTATTTCCCATAAAGTTTCATAAAGGATGAAAGGAGGTGAAGTGCAGAAGCGTACTATTTCTGTTTTATCTGCAGCCTGTGATTATAAATCTTCCTGAGACATCATTAATTATAGTGGTGCCATTCACAATTTGGGCTGCAATTCGGGCCCATTAGAATTTTCAACCAAAATTTCATGGCTGGGGCTTAGTAATTGGCAACTGAGTTTTTGTATGAGGCTGAAACTTGAAGGCTATGACAGAGGGGAACATCTTTAAACTAGTTGCTATAGACTGAATGTTTGTGTCCCCTCCAAATTAATACACTGAAATCCTAATACTAATCCCCAAAGTGGTGTTACTTGTGGGTAGGGCCCTGGAGAGGTAATTAGGTCATGAGGTTGGAGCCCTCATGAATGCAAATAGTGCTCTTATAAAAGAGACCCCAATGAGCTTTCTCACTCTCTTCCCCTGTGAGAGGATAAAACACTAAAAGGGCCATCTGCAACTCAGAAGAGGGTTCTCACCAGAGCTCAACTATGCTGCATCCTGATCTTGACTTCTAGCTTCCAGAACTGTGAGAAATAAATTTCTATTATTTATAAGTCACTATGGTGGCCATGGTGTTCTGTTAAATAGCCCACACTGACAAAGACACGTACTGTGCACAGAAAGCCTAGAAACCTATGAGGGGTTTGCCCAAAAGTTCAAGGCTGAGGGATGAACTTTATAAGCACAACGTGAGATCACCAGAGACTTGCCAGTTCGAGGCTGCTAAGGATTGGGAACAGAACAGAAGTGCTTAGGATCAGGAGTACTGGGGGTACTGGGAGTACTGAACATTTCATAGTGGAGAGATCTTTTTAATACTTTGTATAATACTTCTGGAATCCAGCTGATACACCAGAAAGTCTGCACTCTAGCAGAAAGAACAATATCCTAAAGTTAGGCCTGCACTAGACCTGCCTAAACAAAGTCTACAACCAAGCCTGTTGTAGACAGAGTTTGGAAGAGACAGAGTTTGGAAGTTGAGTCCTACTAAGTTAGATGGGCTTTAAGAACATCTTGGGCTTTCCACATATCTGCACTAGTGAAGTATATAACTAAGTCTGTATAAGTTTAAGGTAATCACCCCATACTTAAACTGCCTGCTTAAATAAGAATCAACACTCTTCAGAGAAAGAACAGAATCCAGGTTCTTACAATGTATTATTCAAAATATCCAGTGTTCAATAAGAAAAATCCCTAGACATACAAAGAAACAGGAAAATGCAATGCATAGTTATGAAAACATTCAATTAGTAGAAGCAGAACTTGACATGGCACAGATGTTGGGTATAACATATATAGGCTTTAAGGCAGCTATTGTAAATATTTTCAAGGAAATCAAGAAGGATATATTCGAGAGGTAAAGGAAAATAGGGTCCTAAGAGTAACAAATAGGGAATATCAGTAGTCATGTGAAAACTAAAGAAAAAGACCACATGGAAATTTTAGAACTGAATAATACGTTAAGTGAAATAAAAAATTCACTGGATGGTGGGATTGTAGACTGGCAGGGCATTCTGGACAGCAACTTGGAACTTTTTGGTCAAACTAAGACTGTTCATACTCCATGACTTAATTTCTATTCTGCTCATTATATACCATATGGAAAATTTATAAAACTTAAGCATGAACTGGGGAAGATATTTGTTAACACATATAATAGATGAAGGGTTAGTAGTCAGGGTATATAAAGAACTCCTATAAATCAGTGTGAGAGAGAGAGAGAGCAAGGGAGCATGACAGAAAGCAAGTGAGAGAAAAACGATCTAAAAAAATAGCAAGGGAACTAGTAGACAGTTCATAAAAAGAAAGTGGCAAGACTAATAAAACCAGGAAAAGGCGCTGAATCTCAAGAATAATAATAATAAGAGACACAAGACAAATCCACAATGAGATACCTGGACTACACACACTCAAATATACAAACATTAAAAACCTAAACAATACCAAATATTGGTGAGGATGTGGGAAAATAACTCTTATGCACTCCCAGCAGGAACAATAATTGGTTCAACTACTTTGGAAAATGGTATGGCATTACCAATTAAAATCTCTCGTGTACAAAACCTAATACCCTGTTAATCTATTCCCACTGGACATGCGCACACTAGTAGACATGTACTAGAAAGTTCATAACATTGTTAGTAATAGCTAAAAATGGAAACAGGGCCAGTGACCATCAATAGTAAATAATATTCACTATACTGGAGTACTATCCAACAATAAAAAACTTCAGCTAAACAGCATTGATACTGGGTGAATTCCACAATGTAGTAGTAAGAGAAGCAAGTCACAGAAAAATACAAGTAGTATAATTTCATTTATATAACATCAGCAACAGGAAGCAAATTAAAAACATCTAGTTTAGAAATGTACATAAGGGGTGTCTGGGTAGCTCAGCTGGTTAAGCATCTGACTCTTGATTTTGACTCAGGTTATGGTCTCTGGGTTGTGAGATCAAGCCCCATGTCTGGCTCCATGCTGGGCTGGAGCCTGCTTAAGATTCTTTCTCTCCCTTTGCCTTTGCCCCCCGACCACCACCAAATTAAAGAGACGCATACATTAATAGCAAAAGTATTTAGAAAAGTAAGGGGATTAGTAAAACAAAAGTCAGGGGGTGGGAGAGTGGTTTCTCCCAGAGCAAGGAAGGCAAGCAATGGTTGGGGCATTTCTAAGGTTCTAGTAATGTTCTGTTTCTTAACCTGTGTATTAGTTGCACAGTTATTTGTTTTATTGTTTAAGGTGAACATATTTTATACACTTTTCTATGTATAATGTATTTTACAATAAAAATGATTTTTAAAAAGACTGGATTGGACAATCTCTTAGATTCTTGTCATCTTTGGTGGTCTATGGCCCAAGCCCTTCCCAAATGGATTTATTGTTGGCTCTGCATTGACAGTCAATTTAAGCAATGTACATTGAGTACATGTGAATACTCAGTGAATGCGGAAGCTTGAAGGGAGAGGGGGACACACTAACAGAATCACAGAGTAGGAGACTAGGAAGAATAACATGATCTGATTCACACCTCAGTTCTCAGGGAGGCCACAGATTTTACATGAAAGGTCCTGAGTTCCAGTCCTGATTCTACCTTCTTCTGGGCAAACCTCTTCTCTAATCTTCAATTTCATCTCATGCTGGCTTTGTAAACTACTGTGAAATTCAAATAAATAATCAATAATAATTACTATTCTTTTACAGTTGGGGAAACTGAGGCTGCACTAGGATTCTACTAGCCCAAGGTGCCATGGCCACCTTGGAACTCAGAGCTCCTGAGTCCAACTCCCTGACCTGGGCACTGTCCCACTACGCAAACGGTTAGCTATTCTCTCCTTTGTTTGGCTTTGAGCCCACGGTTTGATGTCACAGAACTTCCCCGCCCCACCCCGCTCCTTCGGAAGCCACGCCTCCCTGCGTGGCATCGCCTCTGGCGTTCGCCGAGCCCCGCCCCCGGCCTCTAGCCTAGGAGTGGCGGCTCCGGCGCTTCCCCGCCCCGTCTCTCTTCCGGCCCCGCCCCTCCTGGCTGCCATGACAACGAGTCCGCGCCCCGCGCACAGCTGCTGCTCGGGCGGGACCCAGGCTGGACCGCGGGCCCCGGCCTGGGGGCCACAGCTGCCACCGCCGCCGCCACCTCGTCTCCTCCCCGTCCCCGCCCCGCCCCGCGTCTCCTCGTCTCACTCGGGCCCGCGGCCGGGGTCCCTCCCCGCCGCCCCACCCCGCGCGGATGCCGAAGGTGAAAGCGCTACAATGCGCCCTGGCGCTGGAGATCCGCTCTGTGAGTACGGGTCGCGACCCCTCACCCCCCCGGCCTGGGTGTCAGCGAGCCTCCGGCATTTACTCGGGGTCGCCTCCCTTATTCACCTCTTTGAACCCCGAGTCACCTCGAACCAACTTTATCCTCCGAATCATCCCTCGGGAGCCTTGTGGACACGCGTCACCTCTGTCTCCTCCTACTTCAAAATCCTGAAGGCCCTCCCACTCCAGCCACGCAGAGCTGTCCGCCCCGCACCCCCGCCGCCCCTTCCTGCCCTCCCACCTCCGCTCTCCTCGCTCTATCCCAGCTTCCAGTTTGGGTTCCATCAGATCATTTCCAGACCACTTCAGAAAGCCCCTCCTCTTCTGCCCCTAACTTTCCAGTGAATTGGGATGGAGGATCTTCTCTTTAAATTCCTCATCTCTGCTCCTATTCTCTAAGAGTCCCGTTTCTCTCCGGTCGTCAAGGGAGACTTTTCTTCCCAAATCACTGCAGGCAGATTCTTTCAGACAAATTTCCAAGCTTCTGATTGGTGAAGGAGCCTTTACTCTCGGTCTTCAATGTGGAATCCTCACACCCAGCAACCAAATTGTGTCAGTATCGCACAGAGCACCTTGCCATCTCCCCCAGGGCCAGACCCTCAGAAACCATTTCAGGTCCCTGAATCCCTTATCCTTCTTGTCACTCCAAGGCACCAACTTTTACAGAGAAACTGTTCATTCTCTGAACTTGCTGGAGAGGACCAGTAACAGTCACTTTCCAGACTTGTTCAAGAGGATCCGGTGCCCAGACCTGCTGTGGAAATCCAGCTGAGGCCTTGAGCCCCCATGTCCTTCCTTAAGTGAGAGAGGTTGGACCTCTCCATGGCATGAGAAATCTGCATCCCTCTTAATCATTTCAGAAGACCCTTCCAATTGTTCTTAAACGCCCTCCTCTTCACTTTTTACAGACCCCTTTCATTCTCATCTTCAGATAAAGCCCCAGCCTCTCTCTTCTAGAGGAAATCCCCGGAGAACCTTTCTATACCCCCATTTTAGACATGCCAGCAGTTTGGAGCCAAAATTCCCCCATTCAGACTCTTTTCTCTCCTTCCACCTCTCCCAAGCCCTATTATCTCTCAACTCTTTGATCCCCCAGCAAAACTGGGGCAGGTATGTGTGTGCGAGGGTACTTCTGTATCCAACACCAGGCCTCTGAGTGCTGCCCCAAGAAGCTCTCCCTACTTCTTCCTGCCCATGGCTTCTTTGTCCACTTAACCCCGCCTTGGCCATGCCCTGCTTTCCTGGCTGTCCTTCCTCGCATTAGAATGAGGCCGCTGTAACACAGTCCGTGTTACCTCCCTGGAGGTCACAAGATTGTTCTAGATCTTTTGTTAGGTCTTAAAGAAGGCAAGGCTGGGTAGGACAGATTGTGAGGCAGGGTGGAGGGGAAGAATGTTTCTGGCACTCTTGGTTTATCTCTAAAGCCACAGAGATTTTACTCTGCTCTGTGGCAAGCTATAGTGCTCATCCCACAGCTGCCAAAGATTAGCAACTTCTTTGTAAAGTAAGATTCCTTTAGCCAAAGAATACAGGAAGCTTCCTGAAGGGCTTGGCCTGAAACAGTTAGTCAAACTCTTCCTCAGGCACGCCCTACTTCACCAGACTTTGTTACTGGCTGCTGCTTCCTCCCTCCGCCAGCCAATGGGGCTTAGCAGTCTAGTGAGTGCAGCTGCTTCCCCTGCACTGCCAATAGAATCTTCCAGAGGAAGTACTTCGTTGTAACTGATTACTACCAAAAAGAGTTGCAGAAATACTTTTGATTTCAGTACCTTTCTTCCTCAGTATTGATTGTACTGCAGAAAGTGACTTACTTTAGTACAATGGAGTTCTGTGTCCGTTGAAGCTGAAGAAATTATGCAGGTGCAAACATTGCTATTTAACTCTTTTCAACAAACACTTGAGTCAGAATTTTACAGTTCTCAGAATCTTAGCTGTCATTGAATTTAATTCTGTTTCACAGGTGAGGCTTAGCATGGCTAGTTATTTGTTTAGGGGCAGCTCTGCAATGAGAAGCTAAGTTTTCGGACCAGCAGAATGCCTGTTAGATGGCTCTGATGCTGAGAAGGAGCAAAAAAGGCCCATTAGCAACCAGACAAGTTAAGCAAGCTTGATTAATTTGGCCTTGATTGAATAGATGAATTATATGACCATAGATACTCTTAGCATCTTCTTTTAAATTTTAGTGTTTTCTTTTCAATTTAATTTTTTATGTTTACATGGTATAAAAGTAAAAACCTACAAAATGATATACTCAGAGTGGTCACACATCCAGCTCTGTCTCCTCAAACTTATTTCCCATCCATACTCATCTGCTGTAGGGAAAGCTACTGTGGACATTCATTCTTGTACAACTTTTTCTGTGTGTATTGCCTTTTGAAGATACCACACTCAGATATAGAATATCCCATGTCATATTATTGCCTGAATTTTTTTCCCTTTGTGGTAACATTTAATTTGTTCCCGATTCCTGTTAACTGGAAATTAGATGTTTGGTCTCTGTGTGCCTGTTGAAAGTGACACTCCTTTCAAAGTGAAGAGCACCTGGTTGGCTCAGTAGGTTAAAGCCTCTGCCTTCGGCTCAGGTCATGATCCCAGAGTCCCTCGTTGGGCTCTCTGTTAGGCAGAGAGCCCGCTTCCTTCTCTCTCTCTGCCTGCCTCTCTGCATACTTGTGATCTGTCTCTCTGTCAAATAAATAAATAAATAATCTTAAAAAAAAAGAAGAAAAAAAAGAAAGTGACACTTCATTCTCCTCCTCCCCCACCCCCTCCATGATTGTGTTTTGCTGTGGTGTTATATTGGTAGTAATCTCATGTTTAATACTGTGGTAATATGATAGCAAGAACATAGTAAACACGAAAGGCTTTAGTGTATAACACAACATTTTGTGTTGCTCCACAGAGCCTTATGACTTGAGAGAAAATATATTGCTAGGAAGAAGGTGTGACTTTTCTCAATGAATCTTTGGAGAAAGATATAATAGGCCAAGTAACTTGTTTTTCAAGAGCAGCAAAAGAATTACATCTCCTATCACTTAGGCTTTTAATAGTTGATACATCTTATCTGTGATATGAAAAAGTATTTTTGCTGCTCCTTCTCTCTTCTTTTTGTTAATAAGTAGTTCATTTTTCTTGAGATTATTTGGGAGAATGAACAAAATCAGAAAGAGAATAATAAAGCCTAGTGCCTGGGCAGTGAAACCAGCCAATTTGCCTTATCTGAATAGTGTCTGTTTGGGGTTAGTTTAGATATATAATTCCTGGTTTTTCTTCTGTATACTCCCTTCACCTCTTTACCTCATCAAATTATTGATAACATTGGGGCAAACAGATCTGGGTCCTTTTTGATCCCTACTCGTTTGAACATTTGTGATCCTTCTCCAGCTTTCCGTGGAGTGATTTGTCTCACAATTGTGCTACAGTTAGTTCCCTTTGTACACCTTCCTGACCCGTTTTCCTTCTTCCCTTCCTAGAGGTGAGGCAATCAATGTCTTGAATTTGGAGTGTATTATTTTCATTCTGGTTTTGTACATTTACTGTATATTTGTGCATGTCTGTGTGCTACTTGTATTATTGATTTGTTTTAAAACTTTACGCAAGTGGTATTTTACTCTGTATCCCATACCTGTTTTTTCCAGTTCAGTTACCAAAATTTGTCAGTGTTGATTCTTGCAGATCAAGTCCATTTCCTTAATTACTATATAATACTGTTTATTTTTATAATAGTGATTAATTTATATTCTTTTTTGATAGACCTTTAAATGCCAGTGAAATTTGTTGGGCTACCTTTGCTTACCTTAGTGTTTAGGGCTCCTGCTGGTGTTAATTGTCTGGTATTCTGCACGACTTGAATGTCCTATTTAATGTGTAGATGAAAAGCTTCGTACAATTATTAGAGGTTAAGAATCTGTTTTATGGGGGCGCCTGGGTGGCTCAGTGGGTTAAAGCCTCTGCCTTCGGCTCGGGTCGTGATCCCAGGGTCCTGGGATCGAGCCCCGCATCAGTCTCTCTGCTCGGCAGGGAGCCTGCTTCCTCCTCTCTCTCTCTCTCTCTGCCTGCCTCTCTGCCTACTTGTGATCTGTCTGTCAAATAAATAAATAAAATCTTAAAAAAAAAAAATCTGTTTTATGTATAAACACAGTCTTTTTTTTTTTTTTTGGCAAGGTGGTATAAAATACATCAGATTTTCTAGGAATACAATTACAGTGTAAGTTGAGGAAAGAGTATACTTTGCTTTGTTTGAAACTCTGCTAAGAGTTTACTTTTTTGGAAAATTGTGGCACCAGTGGCAGCACTGTTTGTGTTCGAGTTGCCAGTATGGGTACTTGTCATTCTGGTTTAGAAACTGTCCATTTTACATAGATTCCGTGTATAGGTGCAAATGCTGTATCTTCTAGCTTAGTCCTGCCATGGCATTTACATACAAAAATAGATCTTTTATTATAAATTATTTCTGGGTGTTTTGTTTTGTTTTGTTTTGTTTTTACTTAGGGCATTGGTTTAGTTTTTAGTCACACATATAGTAAATTGCAAACTATCTGTTGTAAAGGAGGGAATACAGACCCAGTGCTCCAGGCACTAGATTTAAAAATGGAACTACTGAGGTAACTGCTATCAGGACTTCTATCACAATATAATTTGAATTCATGAAATCTTTTTCTCCACAGTATGAACTTTTTAATGTCTAGTTTTTAGTGAGAATTCAGCCCTGTCATCTTGTAAAACAATAGTTCTTAATCATTCTGTTGTTTTTTTCTCCCCAGCTTTATTGAGCTATAATTGACTCATAATATTGTATAAATTCGAGGTGTACAACAGGTTGATTTGTCCCTACTGTTGTAGGGACACCTGTGTGGCTCAGTCACTTAAGTGTCTGCCTTTGGCTCAGGTCGTGATCCCAGGATCCTGGTATGGAGTTCTGTGTCAGCCTCCTTGCTCAGAGGGAAGCCTGCTTCTCCCTCTGCCTTCAATCCCCCTGCTTGT